CAACTTTAATTACGGATTTAAATTGTGTGTATACAGCAGGCTTTCTGCTCTTCCAACTTTTATGAACGCTGCGGTTTTGTAATAGTTATGATAATTTTATGCTAATCTACTTGACGGACAAAATAACTCATCTCCAACAGCATATTTTGTGAGATTTGTGATTTTCTCTTTATTATTTGGGGCAATTGCATTTATTGTGAAATGTAAATTTTGTGCGCTTCAAAACTTATCACTTCCTTAACCTTTTAGACTCCCTTCCTCTCGGCCCCAACCTCCCCCCATCAGTCTTTAAAACCTGCCTTAAACCTCTTTGACAGCACGAATGGTCACTTCCCCCCCTTCAAGACCAACCTCCTTGACCGCAGTTTGGTTCGTCTTTCCCCTTCCCCACTCCCTTTGACACCCGCCCCCAGCTCAGGGGCCCAGCGGCAATGTTAAGCACTTTGAGACGTGAACGGCACTGTATAAGAGTAAATTTTATTGTATTGCTTGGCAAATGACCACATCATTATATGTGAAAGGCACCTCATAACTGCAAGTTTTTGTTCTACTGCTGTAAAACTTTGACCTCTAGGTTCTCAAGTTTGCTGCTGCATTACCCGATTGTCACCAAACATTTCATGCTTTTTTTCCTTAGAATGGACTCCCGTAATTTACAGATTGCTCCACATGACTCCCATGCCTTTTCTCCCCAAATTACACAACTAACTACACACAATTATTGCACTAATACGGAAAATTGAGTCTCTGATATCATTTGTTTGCCTAAACTAATTGTAATGTAATCCACATAAACGTTTATGGGACACATTTGAGATGTCTGAATGACATGATAAGGCATATCAAATGCAAGGATTATTATTGTTATAAAGCGCTTTGGGACGTCCTCCTGACGTGAAAAGCGCTATATCAAATGCAAGGATTATTATTATTATTATTATTATATTGGGTTCACCCACAAAATACTATAAGAATAGTATAAGAATGATAGAATTTTTATATTGTATTAACAATTGCTTGAGCTAAGTGACATAATCCTCATAATTTGCAGTAATCTAGTTGATGCAGCGTATAGCTAATCTGGTAGCAGTCGATAATTAGTATTAGTCGAGGAACATCTCTCCTTATTTGGTGATGNTTTTTCGTACCGTGGGTAATTTTAGTAAGAGACAAGTCAAGGGAACTGATATCAGATGGTTGGACAATGATATCAGAGACTGAAGGTAGATGGTCACTCTTGGTACAGTGACGTCTCCTTGGTAGACCCTGATAAAAAGGAAGCCTAGCCTCTTTTGAGTAATATCAGAGGTTTTAGAAGAATATGCAGAAAGAACTATAGGTAACATTAGGGCAAGTAGAATGTGGAGGCCATAGTAGGGGCCACTTTGTGATCAGGAGGTCAAGGTATAGTACAAACTATCATGTGGTAATTCATGATTGGAGTAGTAGAAATATACGTAATTTAGAAAAGTAAGTTGGAATCATTGTAGGAGGAACAATTGTGAGCAGCTGATAGTCAGTGACTTCCCCTAATTGGATGGGTAATATCATATTGATTTGATTGAATCTTACTGTATTAATGTAACTTAGCAGTATAGTAATGTATGTGTTAAAGCATAAACCTTTGAACTGTCTATGAGAATAAAAGATCTATAATTCACCCCCTATATTGGGTGAAGTCTCATTCTGGCAAACCTTACAATACATAGTTGCTACACTTCACAGTAAATCTGGTGAAGCACTTTGAGACGTCCTCCCGACATGAAAAGCATTATATCAAATGTAAGGATTGTTATTATTGCATCATTATTACTCCTGTGGTATTGAAGGAAAATCAGACATGCTAATGATTCCAATCTCATCATTCCTGTGCAGAGATTATCAGAATCTACATGGAGTAAAACTGGGACCATTTGATGTCACTGCTAGTAAAGTTAGAAAGAGGCATTACAAATGCAATGTGTGCGTAATGAGAATTTCATTTTATCTCTAATGTATTCTACAATTTAAAGAGTAGCTGGTATACAGCAGTTTTCTGGAATTTTACTGTGGCAAATTATATCTTTATGTAAATGGTAAAAGTAATATGCATTGTTCATTTTATTCCTAAATGACAAACGAAACAATGGATTGGATGCCAAAAAAAATTAGAATGAATTCTCTCAAGAGCTATGATCTTATTATAGTTGAATTACTTTTTCATTTCCAATTCATTTATTAATCAAAAGTTATTGAAGTATAAATAAGGGACTATAAGTCGGTGATAAGGAGAGTCGGGTAACCATTTGAGTGCTGAGCTTTCATTGCAACGTCTTGCCCAGCTTTTTCGGTTTCAAGGATTCGTTTGGCAAACTGCGCCAATGCATTGGATTCGTGCATGTGGAGTCCCATTGCGTGGTGGTTAGCGTGCTCGCCTCTCAAGAAAGAGGACGGGGGTTCGAATCCCTGGCGGGCAAAACCTTAGGCAAGTTTCCTTACTCCATAAGACTGTGTTTACATTGCAGTAAGTAGGAAACCAATTGTTCGTCGATTGAGGGGTAATAATCCCTTAAAAAAAATGCGGTCACTCAATTCACAAATGTTTGTGGGATACTTCAAATGGTTTCGCCCTCAAAATATACAGTCAATCCACTTTACACTATAATCTGTGAAGCGCTTTGAGACGCCTCAACAATGTGTTACAGCGCTATATCGAATGCAAGGATTATTATTGTTATTATTTGTTGCTTTCATTCAATCTTTGGGTAACACGTTACTACCGAGTACCAAGGGTAATTACCAAAGGTGGATACCAAGCAATACCCAGCAACTGGCAAAATAGGGAGCATTAGTTTATCAATAGGAACTGTCCAACCAATCTCAAGTTATTATCCACCAACACTGGGTGAAATGGGTTAGTTTGGTGATTCAGATCCAATCTGAACTGATCCAACCCAAGGTCATCAATGTGAACTTGATGGCTTTCTACCTCAACATCCCTGCGTAAAAGATTGAAATATTAAAAAACATTCTGCCCCCACTCTCTGGAATTCCTCCCCAGAATCCCTCCGCCTCCCCCTCTCCCCCCCCTCTCCCTCCCATCCTGCTGTGTGAAGCATTTTAAGCCATCCTCATGATGTGAATGCAAATGTAAATTCTAATCGCAAACAAGATACAAGTAAAGAATGTCTATTGAATCATTTGATTTCCAGAATACTACCCACAGCATTGTCCCCTGACAGAACCGGCACAAGTCTAACCATCCTGCCCTCCATTGGAGCCTCACCATCTGCCTCTCTAACAATTGTGTCTCTATTCCTGGCCAATTGATGCTTCTAACATGATTATTTCAACAAAGAATTGCAATAAGTAATCCAATCTTATAAGTTGTGAGGAATTGTACGCGTATTAAATATCTCATTTTAATTAAGCTGAGCAAGTGAAACTTTTGTGGTGGAACTCGATTTTCCTGACCTCGACAGATTCATCATTACTTCTTTAATGTTAAATCCAATGGCTCCGTTTGTAAAAGCAAGAATCCCCTTTTGCCCTTTAATGGGCTCCTTTATCTGTAGTCCCACTTTTAACGATCTGTGTATTTTTACCTCCACATCCCTCTGAGAATTTCATTGCTTCAGATATATTGTATTTCCATTCTCTAATCACCTGCTCAAATGAACAACTTCACATTTTTCTGTATTGAATTCCATTTTCCGTAAACCAGCCTGTTCCACTAGCCTGTCAATATCTCTCTGCCTCCCGGATTCTTCAGCACCTCCTAATTTAGCATTATCTGCAAATTTCGATATTATTTCTTCCAGCCCCTGTGTCCAGATCATTAATACAACTAGAGAACAAGTGAGGTCCCAACATTGATCCCTGAGGATCGTCACGATATGCCTTTTGCCAAAACATCCTTGAAATCCCACTCTCTATCACCTGTCAATCCATTCCTCTATCCATTAGACTACTTTTCCATCAATCCCATGTGCTTTACCCTTGGTCACAAACCTATTACGCTACTTGGCATTAATTTGCGAACTAAAAATGCATAATTGCTCCTGCATCCTCACACTGGGGTAATACGTGCTCTGAAACGCTACCCTGCCTGAAGGGCTCTATATAAATGCAAGTTGTTGTTCTCTTGTTGTGTTGTTCGCCACTACCTCAAAGAGTTCTGAGCCTAAGATTAGGAATTCGAAGACAACTCTTGCATAAACCAGAACGGTCTATGTGTTGCATTCCCCCACCAGGCAGAAGGAGGCCGTTCAGCCATCAAATCTGCTCCGGCTCTCAAGCAAGCTGTCCATTTGAACCCAATGCATTGCTCTATCCCCTAAACCCTTTCAAGTCTTTATCTTTAGCAAGTGCTCTGGGACGCTATCCTGCCTGAGGGGTGCTATATAAATGCAAGTTGTTGTTGTTATCATATCTGTCTGCTTCCCTCTTGAAATCCACAATGATGTTCTGCCTCGACCACCTTGCTTGGCAAGGGCATTCCACATCCCAGCAGCACTCGGAGAAGCCAAAAGGGAGAGTGGTCCCTAGTGAGGAAAAGGGCAGTGAAATATAAGGAAAAAAAAGACAAAATGCATCGAATAAGCAACGTAGTAGAGCAAATCAGAAAACAAGAGTATTGGGAGCCTTTGATTAGTTTCATAACATTGATCTGAAAAAAAAAATTGCCTTTCAAATCTGCAGTTCTTTACCTCAGAGAACATATTCACAATGACAGGTGAACGGTGCTTTCTGAGGTGCAAAGTAGTTTCTCCTGTTTACGACATCATCACTCCATATGAAATAATATGACTTCACTCCACTCAAAACACACCCATCGAGGCAGCATTCTATTCTTCTTCTTTACAGTCTTTTAAATAATAAATGAGGCCGACAACGTATTAATGTATTATTCAGAAACTGTGGCCAAGAAAATCAGCAACAGGAGTTGTTTGGGGATCCCGGAGGATGTTTTACTTTTTGCCGTTTTTTGCTGAATGGCAATCGCATTGTTTCTCTTTCAGCGCCGTTCAGCATGAAGTTGGGGGAAACTAATTCAGAGGCCTTAGCTGCACCCATCAGTAGCACCACCATGATACCCGTCGGGCCAGGAGACAACTCAACAGAGTCGGGAGGACACGCTGCAGGCAAAAACGATGTCTTTGAGAAACTGAAAGACAAATTTATGAATGAACTGAACAAAATTCCACGTGAGTACAACTTATTATTGCCCTGAAAGGATGTATTCCCCAGGGCCATTCCGTTTCCCATTTTTCGCTAACACAGTTAACTCTGTCGCTCAGTTATCATTTTCCGATGAAAATGACCAGGAAACCCAAACTTAATCAAACCTGAAATGTCTGTCTTAAGGGCTTCACAAATCTCATAATTTGTGTCAACCTGGCTCCGTTGTTAGCACTCTCACCTCCTAGTTGGAAGGATGTGGGTTCAAGACCCAAGTCGGGACTTGGAATTCATGTAGTCTAAGCTGGCACTCCAATGCAATGTTGCGTGGTTGGAAGTATTATCCTGCAGATGAGATGTTAAACCCATCTGCCTGTTCTGATCCCATGGCACTGGAGTCAAATTATAAATAGCCGAGGAAACCAAATAAAGGAAAGTTAACATTATTACATTTTTAGTAATATCTAACATTATATTGTTCTTATCTTTCACTGGCTTCACTTTGTTCTTATGGATTGAATGGGACATTTAATGTTTCTGTGTGGTCAAGTTTGATTTGGATATTAGAAATGTGGTCAGTGTTCAAAAGAAATGTGTGAGTCCTAAAGCAAAAGTTACTTTCCCAAAAAAGGACAGTGTGGGCTATATTGTCAGCAACTAATGTAAAAGCTGTAAGCCCTGACATTGCCAGTCATGATAATAGTCAGCCCGGCTCAGTCAGCAGCACTCTTGAGTCAGAATGTTGTTGGTTCAAGCTCCACACTGGCACTTTGAGCTCAGTCTAGTTTGGCACTCCAGGGCAGTTCAGGGGGACAACTACATTGATAGAGGTGCTGTCCTTTGGATGAGATGCAAAACCAATATCCTATCTGCCTGTCCAAGTGGACATTAAAGAATCTATGTGCTACTCTAAAAGAAAAAGGAGTTTATTCCCGGTGTCCTGACCAACAAATATCGAAATCAAACTGATCCCTCACTCCATGGCTGTTTATGGGGCATTGCTGTGTGCAAATCGGTTGCCCCATTTGCCTACATGTGCACAGTAACAATGCAATAAATGCTGCGAGTGGATTAGAGGCACTGACAATGGGAAAAGGTGCCACATCAAATGCAAGGAAGGATTGTTATTATTCATACCTGAGGTGGAAGTGATTATCAATGCCAGTTCTCCAATGCTTTTACACCTGTTTTGCCAGTTCCGCCATGGGCCTTGATAGCCATAGCTGTCGTTGGTGGTCTGCTCATCCTCACGTGCTGCCTCTGCATCTGCAAGAAGTGCTGCTGTAAAAAGAAGAAGAACAAGAAGGAAAAGGGCAAGGGTATGAAGAACGCCATCAACATGAAAGATGTGAAAAACTCAGGTGGAAATCAGGTAATGTAACAGAGGGGAAAATGGTCCAAGTTGCCATACACAAAGGCTGGCGTTTCCCATTAAAAACTACGTTGTGTGGCCGGCTAGATTACCAATGTGAGGCGATAAGTTAAATTTTCATTGGTTGAGCTCACGCCTTGGCTTAGTTGAATCAAACGATTTCCCTTTGATTCCGCGCAGCATCCAATTTATTGTGTGATTATTAGTGTTGACCGAAGCATCTTCTGAAACGATCACAAGGATTGTGCACTTTACACATTCAGTTCTGCTGAAATATGGCCATTCGTTGGACTAGTAAGGACTGATGATGGTGGCAATTGGTGAGTCAGTGACTAGAGGGCATCAGTTTAAGATACTTCTCAAACGAGTAAATCGGATGTGAGGACAATTTTTTTTTCCACGCAGGAGTGGTTAGGTTATAGGATGCCCTAGGGGAGCAGTGTTTGATGCAGAATCCACATTAGCTTTCAAAGCAAAACAAGATAGATATCTAAAGAGAAATAAACTGCAGGGGTAAGGGGGAAATGGCAGGTAAATGGGAATGAAAGAATTGCTCTTTAAAAGAGTCAGTATGGAGGGTACATGCATAGAAAAAGCCCATTCTGCCCAGTATGCTGTATACTTCTAATTACTTACATGGTTCCATGACAATTTTCAACACAATGGATGTGTTATTGGCAGAACTCAAACGGGTTCTAAGATTATCTTAAAATTCACTTCGATGAAGTACGTAAATAATTAAAAGGACTGGAAAATGTTTGCTGGGCATAAGTAATCCCATCAGCTTGTAAACAAGCACAGGCGTGCTGACGTCTCTGAAGAAGAACAAGATTACAGTGTTCTTTTTGTAGCACAGTTTCCATCGCATCAAATTGTTTTGAAACAGTCTCGCTCCTCGTGTTATTCGCAACAAGGGGAAAACTCATTACCTTGGATCTTAGCCTGCTGTGATAGGACATATCGCATCGATTTTGTATCGCAAGGAAGTTGTTAGACCGCAGTGGGGCAAACAGGGACACCACATTAACCGTGCCAAATGAATGTGTTCCAAACCCTGTATGATTATCGACGGACATACCTAACCAGTGTTCCTGGCCCATCTGCTCTTTGATTGATAAAGACTGTTTCACTCTAATAGAAAGAAATGTAACGCGTTTCCTACAAAGAACGGACGGCTGTGCGTTGCACTACCTCTCGCTTTTTACATTTCATTTCCTTTGTTCAACAAATACTCTGTAATAAAGGAAATACTACAAAAGCAATAAGCTGCGGGAGCCAGAGGTGGGGGGGGGGGGGGGGGGGGGGGAGGAGGAAGTGCAGCGAGTGATCTGATACTTATCCCTTGTGATAAGACCACCCCACCGCCTCCCTTGCACAGAGTCAAAGTAAAGAAAATCGGTGCACATGCCCACAACCCTTCACCTGGGTTTTATCTGAAGCCAACACATTTCACTATGTTCACCTGCTGAGGTCCCTCTGCAGAGAATTACTGTGAGTTCTCTTTCCAAATGCACTAAATAAGCAGCAATGCCGACTATTCCAATTAATGCACCAGTTTCCTTGGCACATTCTCAACTGTGCGAAAGTCATCACAAAGTCAGTTCCTTTTTGGCTATGGAAAATAGTAAAAAAAAATCATTATCAACACACCACATGCAACTTAGACGCAGAAAAAAATGGCTGAGAATTGTAGCGACACCCAGCTCCTGTTTTAACGTTTGGGAAAAAACGAATCCGACAATCTTAAAAAAAATCTCTTAAAAAAATTCAGAATTCTAACCGACACCGGAGAATATTAACAAGCAGCAGAAATAAAGTTACCTTATTTACACAGAGAGAGACTGCATTTGTGCTCAGAAAGGCAGAGGCCCTCTGAATACAGATGTGCTTTACTTAGTGAGATGCACTGGTTATTTCAACGTTGATCTGGCATCCCTATTTGGATTGATGTTAGTAGTATTTGTTCATTAATGACTCACGTGTTTTGACTTCTTTCAGATAGGAACCAGATATACAATGTGTTGGGGGGGAAATTGGACAAGCATGTGACCTTGAAAAGACAAACTCGTCCAGCCAAGACCTTTTTTTTTAATCTTCTAAAGTAGGAATGAAAGAAACACTAGTTTTCTGCAAGCCTACCATTNAAAAAAACATCAGAAACATTTATGACACTTAGCCTTATCAGTCACACAGAACCTAGTCTCAGGCTTTGGAGAGCTTTTACTCTTACCTTTTTACCAATTCGATTTCAAATGGAACCAGTTTTTAGATCCAAATGTGTGGTGAACATGAAATATTTCTACTTTTGTTGCATTTTTGTTCAGGGCGACTTGTGTGCATATAATCTAAATCTTGTTTTTTCTCTCTCCGTCAATTGCTCTTGATATTTTCAGTTCTTTTGTTAAAATTGCTCGAAGCATCATCAGGGAAAGTACCTTGGAAGAGCCGAGCAGCAGTGAGGACATGAACTGAGATATACAATAATCACCGTATAATTTGGGGAAATCTCCCTCACAGTGTTCCCTTGCTCTCTTGCAATCCTTCAAAGCATTATTGAATGAATACGTAAATGAAATGAAACAGAAATAGATGAAACAAAGAGAATACTCAACTGAATCTGAGTTGTCTGTACATAATAACACAGGAACAAAGTAAGCAGTAGGAACACAGGAATTTAAGTTGTAAGTGGTAGGGACATAGAATCAGGTGATGGCCATTCAGTCTATCCACCAAAAATTCATTAGATCTTGTCAGATCTTGTAAACCCAATGCTCTGTCTTTTCGCCACCCCTTTAATATCTCTAATACTTAAAAGGAACATGACAAGAAGCCTTTAACTGGAGGAACTCAACATATAAATTGTTGATAAGTTGTCATGGTGCAACCTTTCGCAGTGCACACCAATACGCATACAAAACTCCTTTGAATTTGAACAAGATACAAGCTTCTGTAGACTTCGCTCTCTTTGGGGGAAAAAAATATAATTTGAATGTTAGACATATTTGTAATTGTCTTCATTTTCAAACTTGACTTTTCACTTATAGTATCTAGCGGTTAGTGGGAGACGTACAGTAGTTGTAGAGATCTTTAAACCCATTAGTTTGGGAAGGAATTGAAAATCTAGAGTAGGTCCTAGTGAGCTGCAGTTGTCCCTCAAGTGAAATACTCGGAGTGAACGAGATTAACGGGATTCTCTTCATTTCATTCTGAATATAGTCGTCCAAATTCATCCTTACAAGTGAAAAGTGCACTTGGAGCTAATGGCTCCACTGTGATCTTATTGTAAGATAAGTTATATCTGTGCCTCCTGTTTGCTGTAACATCCCACGGAATTCTGCTGAAGACAGCAGCTACCATCTCCTAACCAGCCTCACCGAAGTGTACTTGGGGAGTCATTCTGAGGAGGTAATCTCATCGAGGAGTTCAAAGAATGGTGTAAACTGCAAGAGCCACAGGTTTGAGTGATAAATATCTGTTATTTCAGGCCAAGGAGAAGATTGCAGCATTGAAATTACTCAGGGTCATTGGATTCGGTTGTATTTGCTGTAATAGAACTTGACAGCCAAGACAGCGTGCGATGTAGGTGATAGGAATCCACACAGAAGGATTACTGATTGTCAGACAATCACTGCAATTTTATCCACTGATAGTAAAACAATTGATAACTGAGAACTAACAAACTGCAAATTTTTTTTCATCCTGTGTATAATTTTGTTGAATGTCTCATTGATGTACTCGAGTATATTGAATAAGACGTGTGCCAGTCACAGGCTAAATTATTGTTTGCATTTTGCCACACATTATAACGGCCTGTTTATAATCCTGGAAGCGGTTTGAAGCAATATCCAACAATAACACGATTTGCAGAATTGGAAACGCTATTCTTAGCCACGCTACAGGGAAGAGCAATTCAGCATTTTTTTTGGTAATGTTCTGAGGTGCTGAGAATGGGACCTTTCCTTCAGTAAGATAAAAGTCCTTTCAAAGCAATTTTTTTTTTAAAAAAAACCACACACTTTGTCATCAGAAATGTCTGGGCTGCAAGCCAGAAGCTGAAGCTGCAAAATAAATTGTTACATGGCTGTTGACAAATTTCAAAGGTAGAGAACGACAGATCGCAAGAAAGACTTTTTTAACGTGAAAACAGGTGCATTGCCTGTTTATAAACACACCCGGACGTGAAGGTGTGGTCGGCTGAGAGCAACCCAAATTGCTGGGTTTGTAATTGGGTAGGCGTGCACTGTGAACCATAGGAACAGGAGTAGGCCATTCAGCCCCTCCAGCCTGTTCTACCATTCTATAAAATCATGGCTGATCTGTACTTCAAGTCCAATTACTCGCCCTTGCCCCATATCCCTTAATGCCCTAACCTAACACATATAACCACACGTAGTGGAGAGGGGTTGGGGGGGGGAGTAATTTGAGTCATTTCCAAATGATCCCACAAATAGGGAAGTCCTTCCAGTAACTCACACTAAGTCATTCCACCCGAATCTCCTGCCTGCCGGAATAGAGAGAGAGACATACACACTCGGGCTGGGCAAATTCTGATAGAAAATCCTTCTTAAGGAAACCTGTTAAGAAATTCCACAAAATAGCCCCCCGTAAATCTTAACAGCAGTGGCAGAGCCAGGTCTTGCAACCCTCCACACTGCCTCTCCTCTCGTACATACACCTAAAGGCTGCTGGTGGGGGCTGTCTGTGCCATCCCCCTCCCCCACCTCACTCCCCCCCCGCCCCCACATTACCTCTGCCACTGTCTAACAGTTTCACCAACACAACCAGTGCTTTACAATAAAAACATAGATGTCTAAACGTGTGAGTTGATGCACTGCCAAGCCTCCAGCAGAATAACGTTTGAACATCTACAATGGGCAAGCTCCAAGCTACTCCTGTTCCTTTCTCCAGACCCTCTATACTGTCAGCAACCTAAACGCACCTCCTTCTTCTCTCCCCTGCCCCATACACACACACACACACACAATTGAGGTGAATGTACAAGGGTCCTGTCTCCATTACAATGGTCTCTGGCTACACTAATTTGTTACGCCACATTATGGACCTGTAACACTAAACCTAACACTAAAAGATAAAAAATAATGTTTTGATTCAACCATCGAGTTTACTTTTGAAGGCAATGAGCTGAAGATCAGAGGCACAATCGCAGCGTGTCGCTCCCTTTTAAAGGGGGAAAACAAATTGCCTCTTCAAACCGTATCCAGCTTTGTAGCAGGCTAAAAATACAACGTGGACTCAACCATGAACATTCTTATGTTTCTGTCAGTTTTGAGTTGCAGTATGTGACTCCATATCCGGAGACTGGTGCTGTGCACTGCATTTTAAACAGACAAAATCTCATGCAAGTGTTTAAAAATCTGATCTTTTCCAGGCGAGTCCGTGTGCATCATTTCTCTCTGTGACTTTTGTTGATGGTTTACTACCTGTTTGTCTTTTCAATTCTTTTCCCCTTCCTGTGCTATTCCTGATGTGTACTGTCTGACACACCATGTTTTCTGACTATCCTGGATTTCAATCGGATGGTAGGTTCATAACAAGAGTTTGTTTGCACTTTGCTTTAAGGTTTAACCCTTTGCCTTCACTCACTACCCTCCCCCCCAAAAAAAATCTGTAAAGAAAACAAACCGAAGAAGGGAACGGATTGTAAAAAATCTGCTACCACGTTGAGTGCAAAGGGTTAAGGATTGCTGAAACAAAAACAGAAGGCGCTGGGAACACTCAGCAGGTCAGGCAGCATCTATGGAGAAAGGAAAGTGAGTCAACGTTTCTGACGAAGGGTCGTGGACCCGAAATGTTGACTCACTTTCCTTTCTCCATAGATGCTGCCTGACCTGCTGAGTGTTACCAGCGACTTCTGTTTTTGTTTCAGGTTTCCAGCATCTGCAGTGTTTTGCGTTTTGTTTAAGGATTGCTGAGTTGGCGCTAACTGGCTATGACTGCAGATGCCAATTAGAAAACACCTTAAATTATAGCGACAATGAAAAGCAATGTTTTCTGCATGTTTAATGGTGAAGTTGGCTTCATAGTGGCAAAACACATTTGACCTATTTGATATAAGATAATGTGAAACAATTATTTTTTATCACAGCACATCTCCAACCGAACAACACTTTTTAAAAAAGTTTTACAAGTATTTTTGACTCGTCATACATAACAGGGTCTAATTTCCCACTGTTTCTTACAATTCCCATTGGGAACTCTACTCTGGAAGTACATTGTGGTCGGAGCAGAGTTCCTGCGGTGAGTTTCCTGCTACCATTAGAGGCACCTTCACCAATTTCTTCAACTAACTGAGGAATCCCATTAAGAAATACCACAAATTAGATTCCATTATTCCATCCCCTATAGGGCTCTTTCGACAAACCAGAAGAGTTATTTGCAATATTTTTAGTTGCAATCCAGTCAAATAGCTCTATGTATACCACAGCTCACATCCCGCCCATGCTGACCAAGCAGAGGTTTCTATGATTTACCAGGCAATGGTTACTTACAGCCTGCCTGCTTGCATGGACAACAACAACAAATTACATTTGTATAGTGCCTTTAACATTGGGAAGACATGTCAAGGTGCTGGGCAGTCAGGGATTTGGACTTAAACTGGGGGTTGGGTTGGGATCAGGAGGGGTGGAAGGCAGGGAGGGTGGGAGTAGGAGGGTGACTGAAGGCATGGTCAAAGAGGATGGCCTTCAGGCGTGCCTTAAAGGAGGCAAGGGAGGGGGCGAGGTGAAAGGACTGTGGCTTGGAGTTCCAAAGGGTGAGGGCAGAGAGACTGAAGGCCCGACCGCCGATGGTGGGACATTAAGGATCCTGTGACAATGCTCGAAAAAAGAAGGGAGTTTCTCCTGGTGTCCTTATGACCAAATAAATGACTAATTGGCCATCATCTCATGGCAGTTTATGCCACTTTGCTACCGCAGAATGCCTAGTGCGTTGCCCAGTGCGGAGATGTGCCGCTATAACAATTGCAAGCTCTTCTTTCCAAACCCAAAAATTCAAGTAAAGCTTGAAGCGGGGGAATGAGAGCTCTAAAGTCAATACAAAATCCTTTCACTTTCAAACGTGCAAGAAAAAGGCAAAATGTTCCGTAAAATAAACTCTGCCGAAAGACACAAAAGATCAATAGTGCAGCACTGACTGGATGAATACTCTAAATGATTCATGAATCTCTTCAACCTGTGCACCTTGTACAGGGATAATAAAAATTAATAAAAATGGAGAACTTTTTTGGGGGAGGGGTTTACTCTGATTCATTTTTGCCTCAGGGCATTAAATTTTCAATTTTCTTCACTCACCAACTGTTAAAGATCCCATGGCACTACTTGAAAAGAGAAGGGAGTATCTCCTGGTGTCCTGGCCAATGTTCCTCCAGTTACAAAGTATTCACTCACACTCCGTGGCTGTTTGTGGGACATTGCTACGCACAAAATTGTCTGCCCCGCTTGCCCACAAAACACACAGTCACACCACTTTACAGTACATCCTGTGAAGCCCTTTGAGACGTCTTGACGACTTCATAAAGCTCTATACCACTCGCAAGAATTATTGTTAGATTATTATTAACGTTTCAGTAATATTTGCACTGCCGACCAAGAAATATTCTAGTTTTTTTTCTGCCCACTTGTCCTGTCAACTTTTAAAAAGAAAACAAACATCTCTGTGGGACTTCAAGAAAATCAGTTGAAAGTCCACAGTTGAATATTACTGTGTTAAGAGTCGGTCACGAAAGAGTCTCTTTAAAATCACTAAAAGACAAACGCCACATTTCGGTATTCTCTACACGCGCTCGGCTAAATTGTGCCAATCTCTAAAACGAGCTGTTGACATGGTAAGGCATTGTGTCGAATGCAAAGGTGGTGACTTTTATATTAGTATTATATGGGCTGACATGTTAAGCAGCATCGCAAGAAAAGTTTGGATAGACACCAAGGACAAACACCGAACTTATTGCCTCTCATTCATTTCACAGATAAACTGTTCCGAATAGCAATCACAAGCCACTGTGAAGCCACTGGGGCCACTTTGGCTTTAACGTTCGTGTACATTGTCACAGTCTTAAAGTGTCTGATTGATCAGAGACAGCATGTACAGACTGTGAATTATATGGCAAGTAGGGTTGCGTGTGGTGTGGTGGCGGTGGTGGTGGTGGTGGGGTGGGGTGGGAAATTGCCATTCAAACACTGGCAATATCTCCAGCATTGCCTGCCAAGCAGCTTGTCATCTGCACGTCTGGTGATTAACATTCAGCTTGCATCGAGCTTCCTTCTGATCAGCGCCGCAGTGACACACGGTCGTTTAACCGATAGAACGGCCATTGTGACCGGCATGATTTTTTTTGTGCGTGGTTCAAATCTGTCAAAGATCGATAGCCGTTTAAAATGCTCCCTCAGTTAAAGTTCCGATTTGTGTTTGTAAAATGGGTGAATAACTCCAAGCGTCACTTTGAACTGACCCGTCCGTCAGCAGTTCAAAGCTGTTACTTGGCTGCATCCTGGCTTACCTAAATTTTATTATTTATTGTTTTGGAATCAGTCCTGTAAATGGCCCTACAAAAGGCTTGCAATTAAGCTCGTCCCTTCACATCTGGATCTCAGGGCCCAGATGTTGCACTGAACATTAGGGAGCGTCTGTGTCGAGAAATCTGACAGAAACTTTTTGTTTCTTCTTCACAGGGCAAACAGGACGACGACGACGCGGAAACTGGTTTGACTGAAGGCGAAGACAAGGAAGAGGAACCAGTAGAGGAAGAAAAACTGGGGAAATTGCAGTTTTCCTTGGATTATGACTTTCAGGGCAATCAGGTGAGTTACCATATAAACTTTTCCAGTGTTTTCACAAGAGATTTTACACAGTAACTATCATGGGTTCCTCCACCGTTTAGCTGGTTCAAAAACAACAACAACAAATTACATTTACATAGCGCCTTTCACGTCAGCAGGACGTCCCAAGGCGCTGGACAGTCAAGGATCGGCACCTGATTCACAACGTTTGGATGAAGAACATCCTTTGACCCACTTGATCTCATCCCTCCAAAACCATGCTATCATCTTACCATTACTGCATCAAGCTGTTTCTTAAATGAGTCCGGTTACCTGGCCTCAACCATTCTTCCTGGTAACTTGTCCCAGGCATTAATTACCTTCGTTGCTGAAATGATTGCCTGTCCCAGTCCTGAACATGTGACCTCTTTTCCGGCGGCTTTATTGTATTTGAGAGCATGCGTTCTCAATCGTCAGCTTAAAAGGTTCTTGAGCAGGAAAAAAAACAATCAATTTGTCTCATTGTCATGTCAAACTTACCAAATGTACTATTTCTCTCTCTCTCTCTCTCTCTCTCCACCCACCCTCCCTCTCTCTCCCGATGCCCCTCCTCTCTAATATCCCCCACCTCTTTATAACACCCTCCCATGCCTCTCTCTCTATCCCCCCCGCCCTCTCCCTCTCTCTATCCCCCTCCCTCCCTCAATCGCCCTTCGCCTTCCTTCTCTCTCTATCCCCCCGTCCTCTCTCTTTATCCCCCCCGCCCTCCCTCTCTCTCTACCCCCCCCCCCCCCCCCCCTCTCTCTCTCTCTCTCAGAATACAGTTCTGAGTATCAGTTGGTGTAAGATCTGAACTCCTGTTCTGTCCCCAGTTTCTTTTCACTGCTTCTCAAGCCAACCCTCTCAACATCATCAGTCTAAAGTGGGTTTGGAAAACGATTTGTATTATTTCATAACAACAGCCCCCAGTGAGGTGCAGCTGTCCAAAGCGGAATGAAGGAACCTCTACTCTTGGTGGGTTTCCTCACCATGGGAGAGTGGCTGATTAAGCAGAGCAGTGGTGAGCTTAAACCTGATCAATTATTAGCACAAAATGCAAAACACTGCAGATGCTGGAAATCTGAAAACAAAAACAGAAGTCGCTAGGAACACTCAGCAGGTCAGGCAGCATCTACGGAGAAAGGAAAGTGAGTCAATGTTTCGGGTCCACGACTGGCACACCGGCACAATCATTAGCACACTGGCTTGGGCCCAATGCTCCTGCCCACTTGCCCCCATAAGGTGCTAACTAGCCACCACACTTCATTGGATTTAGACTAGAACTCTCAGCTTTCGTTTGTTAGGTCGGAAAGTATAGCGAAAATGAGACTTTTATTCTATCCACTAGCACAGTCATCAGTGCAAGCCGCACACCAAAGCAGCTGTCACATCGCTGCACACTCTTCTGTATTCAAACAAGATGAGGGCTCTTGCAAGACTCCTTACCATCGCAACAAGTCTTAAATCCTTTGAAACGGAGCCAATGGTCCATTGCACATCTGTTTCCCTGAGCCTCTGTGTCGTCTCTTTGTGGCCTCTATGTAGCTGGCCTTAATTAAGAGCAAACCACAGTGAAAGGTTTCAAGACTCGCTAGAGAGCTCTGGAAAAGGAATTGATTCTGCTTCCATCATCTGTCGACAGCACGGATGGCATTGAGCTCACAAACAGGGATTGTTTTGTGTGGACTAAATGTTCTTTTCCCAGGTAATTACTTAGGCATCATTACGTGGGTAATCACTTCTTACCCAGGTAGTATTTTGGGTTATGTCAAGTTTTCAAGGTGCCACTTGTGTCTGTGACCTGGATTCAAATTCCAACTCCTGAATGACGCAGCAGAGAATTAAATCCCGACACCTGAATAAAAATAATAATTTGGTCACTCAATCCACAACTCTTTGTGGAACACTGCTGTATGCAATTGACTGCCGCGTTTCACCCACAAAATATACAGTCAATTCACTTTACAGTATAAATAAAACATGAAATACTACAGATGCTGGAAATCTGGCACATAGGAAAATAACACGACAGCGTTTGAGCGAATCAACTCATAAAATAGAATAGAAGCAGAGAATCCTACAGCGCAGAAGGAGGCCATTCGGTCCATCATGCCTGTGCCAGCTCTTTGTAAGAACTATCCAATTAATTCCGTTCTCCCGCTCTTTCCCCATAGCCTTGCAATTTATTTTATTTCAAGTATATATCCAATTACCTTTTGAAAGTTATTATTCTGCTTCCTCCAGATAGTAATAACTCGCTGCATGAAATAATGTCTCCTCATCTCCCCTCTGGTTCTTTTGCCAATTATCTTAAATCTGTGTCCTCTGGTTACCAACCCAGCGGCCAGTAGAAACGGTCTCTCCTTATCTATTCTATCAAAACCCCTCATAATTTTGAACACTTCTACTAAATCTCCCCTTAACTCAGAAATACCCGGTTTGAATACAAACCAAGAGCATCCCAGCAATGTGCAATTATTTCGATGTGTTTCATTGCAGCTGGCATGCAGCGCAGGTTATTTTTTTTACCCACTAAGCTCCGGGAAGCCGGCATACAGATCCTCTCTGATGGTACAAGAGCTCAGCTGGTTGTCATTGATGGAATTTACATGTGTCATTTCACTTCTTCATGGGTGGGCTGAAGTTGCAATTCCAAATTCTTATTGCCAGCCTATTATTTTCAAGCAGAATGATATTTGCCTTGCATTAGGAATTAGAATTGCCCTTGCCCCCGTTTTATAAAAAATATTTTATCTGGTGTTTCCATAATCAGATTTGAATAATTAATCAAGCTGATGGTAGGGCGATCCGAAATAAAGGTAGACAAAAGTAAGTGCAGCGAATAGATTTGACAAATGTCTGCAAGATTGCATTCAAAAGGATTTTTATGAAGTCGGGAGCATTTAGACCTTTGTGTTGCATTTCATCTCAATCTGAAACTTGACACTTTTGTTTCTCGGGTGGGGGGGGGGGGGGGGGGGGGTGTCGAGTTGAATGATAGCTGCATAACAGAAGACTTTACACTTTAGTGGAGAGCATTTTATTCCCTTTATGCTGGAGCCAGAGAACCAGGCGGTCGGGTAGGTTTCGACAAATGCCCTTTCATCTCACCCCGAGTTTCAAGTTCAAATGCAGTCAGACCGATTGCATTAATGACGTTCCCCTTTCAAAGGTGTTGGATACAATTAGTTGAGGCAGGCTCTGCGCTGTTTCCATTTTCTAACACAAAGTGCCAGCGATGTGTAAGGCAGTTCAAGAATCCAAGTGCAGAAGTCTTAACCCTAAAAAAAACATTAACTGTGTCATTCCACCGGAATTCTGTTCGATTCCCTGACTCCCCGCCCCACCCCCAGTGGACGAACATTAGATGAACATTGAACATTAGAACATTGTTCAACAACAACACCTTGCATTTCACCCACAAAATATACCGTCAATTCAAGTTACAGTATATGGTGTGAAGCGCTTTGAGACATCTCAACAACATGATAAGGCTCTATATCAAATGCAAGGATTATTATTATTGTTATTATTTTTAAAGTGCCCTTCATGCAGAATCTCAGAGAGGTGACTTCAGTCTGACTCAGGGTCCGATACAACACCATTCACAAGGTCACAAGACTGGTTCAGATGAATAAGGCCCTTTGAGCCATTAGCTCTCAATCCTTCCAAGATACCCACCCATCACAGCGTCAAGCTGCTCGTTGCATGTGAGTCGAGTGTCCTGGCCTCAATGAAGATTGCAGATTTTGTCAACTTGTTGAATTCAGTTTGGGCTTTCCAAAAAGAACACAACAGACCGTTAAAACTATGGCTGTTTAGAAAAAGATTGGGAACTTAAAAGATCTTTATGTCCCTGTGTAAAACAAAGAACCAACTGGTCCAGAAGCTGGTTTAGAAAGTTACAGTTCACACTTGTGTCTTTTGAGGTAAATACCTAAATGGCAATTATTACTTGCTAAGCTTCTTTTATAGGTTATTGCACTACATGGGGTTATAAACCGGAGCCTGACTGTAATGAGGGAATTGCGCTGCAGTGATGCAGCCCACAGCTGATGATCTGACAGACGTGCCGTAACGCGTTTATCCATCCCAGGAGACAGATGATGTGTTTTTCTGATTTACCTCAGTGCTTCTGCCAATTAATGAGAGTGTGGATTTTACAACCGAAGAGAAACGGCCAGTCAGGATGAAAGCTTGGGGATCTGCCGATATAACAGTAAATGTAACCAGCTCCATGCTTTACGGTTTAGGATTTGCACACTCTCAGAAGCATTCAGTTTTTCACCAATCTGCCGTGCTGAATTCAGTTTATGCAGAAGGGGCTTTTTCCCAGTGGCTCAGCCAACAATCCTCCAAATCAAATTGCTCATTCACTTCATGGATTCACTTGAATTGCTGTGCACAAATTGGCTGACGCATTCACCCACAAAATTCCCAATCACCACACTTTACAGTAAATCCCATGAAACACTTGAGATATCCTCATGATGTGACAAGGCACTTTATCAAATGTAAGAATTATTTATTATTGCCTCAGAAAGCGATCGTAAGGGTAACTGCCGACTTTCAAAATTAATTTGATTAAAACTGAACCTAGGAGTGTGGTGAATAATGTACATTGAAAGGACATATCAATAGAGTAAGTAAATATTTCACTCAACTCAGTGTATGCTCCGTTCGACTTAACCATAGTTTGTAAATTCAGAGTGAGGGTTAAAATCATTTTTATTTTTTCAAAATCTAAGGTTGCATTCCTAAAAGTAATCACACAGAAGACTGTAGGTTAAAACCCAATACAAGCACAAACCCATATAAACAAGCCCAGTTTTATGCATAAAAAAATTCAGAAAATGAAAAGTACAACATATAATGCACTCCAACCTCCATTAAATTGGATGTTGGTAGTAACATCTGAATGGACAGTCTAAACTTGTGCCTCTAACAAAACAGAAGCAAAAACTCCCATATTCCACGAGTCCAGAATGAGAATAGAGAGGCCTGTCAGAAGGTTAAGTTACTCCATTGTACAGCAGTTCTTTACACTTGCTCCATGTATATATGGAATTCCCGGCAGTTTGCAACAGATACGCTTCAGCTTTGGTGATGGATTTCCACATGGAAGCAACACCTGGCTGACACCAAAAAGAAATACACTTTCACATCAGGCTGCTTGTTTCATATGAATCACTTTCACAACATCCTGGAAGGAGACTGGATATTTACAATTCTACTGTGACAGTAGGTCGAGTGCAATGGAGTTACACTGCAATTGAGAACAGAATAAGTGATTCCTGAATCACACGTCGCTGAAGCTCCTGTTCATCGTCCCAACAATGTCCCTTCACAGCCTCAGAAGGACTACCTCTCCAGTGACACTCCCAATTCAGTGTTAGGACAGACCTTATTTTGCTCCCTTTCTGTGCGGGGGCTGGACTGAGGTTGCACAAACTCAGTTCACCTTTTGACAGCTGTCTGCGGAAATAAAAACTAGTTTCATTCCACTGTTCTGCCCTTAGATTTGAACCCAGGTCCCAGTGGCAAAAACAAGGACTGTGACCTAACCCAATGTTCCATCTCGTGCTCTTTCTGGAATAATTTTTAATACGTGTCCTAAAGTCTACAGGGTCAAGATTTTGACATGTGATACTATTACCGGTGACAATTGTCACATCGACCAAAATTGCAGTCCAGGGGCTGGCAAAAGACAGCACTGATAACTATTGACAGCTTTTGACCACACGTCTGGTCGAGTGACATTTATGACCATTGACACCGATGACAGTATCACGTGTCCAAATTGTGACCCATTTCACTTTTCGTAACAGAGTTCTATGTTCAAGGAACAATCCAAGGCTTTTGTTTCCTCCATCAATGCAACTTGGCCAGAATGCTAAGTCTATGGAGGGTCAGCATTCTGACATGTGATACTATTACCAGTGATGATTGTCACAGCGATCCAAAACACTGTCAATTTATGATAATTATTTCATTGTTATTTCACGCCAGCAGGAAGGTTCCACTGATCTCATTAAAAGCAATCAACAGAAACCAATAAGCGATGTGAAACCATAAAGGCTGGTTGGGAGCTGACCTCTTTTCTCTGTGACTCGTTCCCACTGAGTTGTGCTGCAGTAATATCTAACTAACAGCAACAACCCGAAAGCCATTGTTTGCAATGGTCCAAATATACTGTAGTCAATAACTCTGCTCATCACAAGCTTCCATCAATGGTGTTCACTCTGCCTGCAGTTGAGGTTCAGTCATTGTTAAATGGCTGGAACAAACACAATGATAAGTCTTACACATTGAATGTCTTTCCTTATGTTTTAAAAAAGCACTTTAAAAGCTGGCCTTGTAACCCTCTGTGAGTCAAGTATTGCAAGCCTTGCAATAAATCAACGACATAACGCCAGGGTGATTTTGGCAAGGTTACTGTTGTGTGGTTTCCCTGTAATTTTTATCTCTTGCTGACAGTCAGATACAAGGTTACCGGTAGTTTACAGATTCTGTTATGGAGATATTCTGTTGAAATGTGTCCATTATACACCACGTGTGTGCCATTAAAATTGGTAGCAACTATGAGGACACAGACACCTGGATTCCTTCACATCCTCACCTCAGCAGAGAACTAGTAATTGTTTCAGCCACTGAACTGCAATGCCTCGAAAGTCCAAATGTTTGATGACCTTAATTAGCAGCAGAACCTTCAAGCTCAGCTCCTGGGGGAGGGAAGTGATTTCTCCTTGAAGCTGAGCTGGCTCCGAGGTGAAGTTCTCAACAACAGAATGTTGTCAATCATCCACGGTTGTCTCAGTACTCCAAGGCTCTGCTGATGACAGACCAGCCAGCCAGGCTCATCGGCAGGACTCGAATTGACAGACCAATCACTGAGACCTGGGATTCTTCCCACTGAGCTCCCTCCCCCATCCCAACCCTCAGCTCGGGTCCGTAACTCTGTCTGTTCAGCCCCTTGGGATGTCCTTCCGACGTGAAGGGCGCTATACAAATGTAATCTTGTTGTTGCTGTATTTTGGACATTCTTGAAAACACCAATGGGTTTCTGTTGGAACTGCACAAAACGACAAAGGCTTTCAGTATTAACCTGACCTTCGATGTGCATTGCATCTTCATGACATTTGCTTGACATTGCAGATCTTTAACATCTCTCATCATCTTTTGCAGCTGACAGTAGGAGTTCTTCAGGCAGCTGAACTACCGGCACTGGATCCTTGTGGCACATCCGATCCTTACGTCAAAGTCTTCCTGCTCCCTGACAAGAAGAAGAAATACGAGACAAAGGTTCAAAAAAGACCCTGAATCCTAACTTCAATGAATCGTTCACTTTCAAGGTAATATCACACTAGTTGTCTGCGTACAGAAACATTACGGGCAAATAAACTGCTGCAGGCTAGACAAGTGTTAGCGTTAGTGCTGGTTTTGTGACAGCCAAATGCTGACAATTGGAAGAAGTCGCAGTTAATCTTTTGATTATTAATCTATAAGTAGTTAGTCATTGAACATGAAGCGTAATAAATGGAGAGAGTACAGCATAAGAATCATAGAATTATACAGCACAGAAGGAGGCCATTCGGCCCATCGTGCCTGTGCCAGCTCTTTGAAAGAGCTATCAGATTAGTCACACTCCCCCGTTCTTTTCCCATAGCCTTGCAACTGTTTCCTTTTCAAGAATAATCCAATTTTCTTTTATTATTAGAATCTGTCAATAATAACTAATAATAAAAGAATATTGAATATATAGTTTGAAGTCCTGTAGCTCAATGGTTAGAGCGCTGGACTCGCAAGCGAGAGACCTGGGTTGATTCCAGGCAGGGTGAAACCTTGGGTAAGTTTCCTTACTCCACACGCCTGATAATAATCCTCAAGAAAAAAAACAATAAGAATTTGGTCACTCAATCCACGACTGTTTGTGGGACACTGCTGTGCACAATTGGCTGCCGCGTTTCGCCCACAAATATACAGTCAGTTCACTTTACAGTATATTCTGTGAAGCGCTTTGAGATGTCTAGAAGACGTGAAAAGCGCTATATCAAATGCAAGGATTATTATTATTATACTTGTGGTTTCCTGTAGCTTAGTGGTTAGAGCACTCATCCCGTAAGCAAGAAGACCTGGGTTTGATTCCGGGCAGGATGAAACCTTAGGCAAGTTTCCTTACTCCACACACCTCTGTTTACCTAGCAGTAAGTAGGTACCCGGTTGTTAGTCGAATAGCGGATCGCTTTTCCGGGGTTAATAATCCACTCAAAAAAGAAAAAGAAATAATTTGGTCACTCAATCCATGAGTGTTTGTGGGACACTGCAATTGGCTGCCGCAATTCACCCACAAAATATACAGTCAATTCAATTTACAATATATTCTGTGAAGCGCTTTGAGACATCTCGAAGACGTGATAAGGCACTATGTCAAATGCAAGGATTATTATTAATATTATTATTATTTACTTTCATCACCCTTTGAGGCAGTGCATTCCAGATCGTAACAACTCACTGCGTAAAAAAAAATTTCCCCTAGTCTCTTCACTGGTTCTTATGCCATCTGACATCTGTTAGGTACAACCCACATCTTTCATTAGAAGACATTGATTGAGAATCCTTGTACTTCTGGCTGACTTTAGTAGGTTTAGAACTCCTGACTCAGTGTTGTTCTGCTTTGATGCCTCCCTGGACTTGTTGAAACAGCAGACATGTGGACAGATTAACAGAAATCCATTGTCAGGCTTGATTTTACTGCTTGCCATAACTTTTAATGCGGAGCTAAAAATACACACATTTTACACACATCACCCTGTAGTACACTAGGTCCTGGTTCTTGTCAACTGAAAACAGATAGATGAATCTTCCACGGATAAAGGAAATATGAAATGATATAAAGGTATTATTCAGCTAATGCATTGAATTATTAGTTTCCTGGCTACGTTTAGTCAGTATCAAAAAGAGTAATGATAGAACGACATGGGGCTTTTGATCCATTTCAGCTGCATAATTTCATTAAATCTGCCAGTGACTCCAATATGGCAAAGCTCTGGGATTGAAGCCTAAAAAGGTGGTGTTGCTATCTAATAGTAATTAAAATTAATCAAGCGATAACCGCTGGAAACCAGCCGATTTGGCGAGACAACATTTGAGATAGATGTGCACACCGGTACATTTCATTGGTCTGATACTTCAGAAATGTCCTACCCTTTTGCGCCTACCTTTTGCACCCGGACACCCTTAGCCGAATCTCATTGTGTTTATTCTGCCGGAAACCCAGCAGTTTGTGTATTTATCCCTCCAGCTCCACGCTGCATCGCACCGGAGCTCTTAAAAAAATGAAGCAATAGTCATGCAGAATTTATGACTCGCACAGTACATGCCCCCTCTCCCTCCTCCCAACATGTTCAAAAAAATTTTTGGTGTGACTGAAAGAGCGAGTTACATGATCAGTGCTTTAACAAGTGTTACAATAACAGTGCTGAATGTTCCTGTTGGGTGTCAATCGGACCGTAGAGAAAGGAGGCCAATTCATCTCACGCTTGCTGTAGTTAGGCTGTAGCAAAGACAAATCAAACACTCTTCAAATCTCTTGCCCACTGCTGTTGGGCAGAGCATGGACGAGCCCAAATTAATATCATGCGTCTTGCAATGATATGCCTGCCAAGACGTGACAATTTGCCATCCTTAAGACTGACAACAAATTGATATAGTGTCCTACATGCGGGGCAGAGTCTCGAAGTACTTAAACCCGTTGAATATTACCCCAAGGTGCATTTTAGACCCCCGATGTAATAAATGACACAGAGAAATGATAAAGCTATGCAAATAGAATGGGTGATAGAATTTTGAGGGGGGGAAATAGTCTCAATCTACGTTCCATTCCAATGATTTCCTGTGCAACATGGCAAAGACGAGGCCAGTTCCGTGACTGCATCGTAATTTGCCCTTTTATCACGAAAACAAAAATATTGATCTTATCCTCCACTTAACGGCTGATGGCTTCTTAGGGTTTTGCCATGCAAACTCGAGCACATTGCTGAGCTCCACTAACAGGTTTACTGAGATGACATTGGGAAACTGTCCATTGCATTTAGCGTTGCAAAATTGTTTCAATTAATGAATAAATTGCTTTGTCAAAACGCGTTAGACACTAAGAATATTTAACTGCAGTTGAAGGTTCTTTTCCCTCTGTTTTGAGAGTCTAGTCTCAATATTCTTCGATGTGCTATTGAACTGAGTGACCAAACTATTACTATTTTTGTGGGGGGGGAGAATTATTATCCTGTGGATTTGGAAGCAGGTACCTTTGAGTACTATTGTCAATTCCTATGAGCCACTAATCGTTTAGTGTACAGGACAGCCCTGCAATAACGTGCCCTTCTGGTCCAGTGTCTCAAACCCTGCGCTGTAACTGACCGTAGAAAAAATTGCCAACTTCCGGGTGATCAAGTTGCCCCTGACATCACTTCCTGCATGGTACGCTCAGGAAGCGGCGCTGATGCTACTTTGCAAAGGAAGTGACATCAGCCACGCTTCCTGCGCACGGCACACATGTGCAGCGTGTGGAAAATGGTGGCTTCAGTGACCTGTTGACCAGGAAGTCAGCCATCTTTTAATGGTCAGGAAGTCCACCAGGTCACCTGCTTTATAATAGGGTTGCCCCCTTATCCATAAATTACTATAAGAATCAGTTTCTTTGCTACATCTTAGACACATATTAAATATACACCTTCAAGTGGATTTCGATGGAATCAAAGAAGGGAATATTAATTATTATTATTTTTGCAGCTCATAAGAAGGCCATTTGGTCCATCAAATCTGTGCTGGTGTTTTCCTTCCAGTGTAACCACACTCCGCGTGCCACTTTATTTATGAAGAGAAGGGAGTTTCTCCCGGTGTCCTAGCTAACAATCCTTCAGATAATACTTGCTCAATCATTTCACGGCTGTTTGTGGGACATTGCTGTGTGCAAATTGGCTGCCGCCTACAACACACAGTCAAGTTTACAGTAAATCCTGTGAAGTGCTTTGAGACATTCTCACGATGTGAAAGGAGCAATATCAAGGATTATTATTATAATATTCTTCCAGTTGCATTATTCAATTTCGCATACAGCATCTCAATGTCGGTGAGGGAGCTCAGTTGGCTTGGATAGAGAAATCAGACGAGCTGTTGTCAAGGCTGAATCATAGGTTTGTCTTTGTAATGGAGGTAAGTTTACACATCTTCCATTGCATTCTGCTGTTTTACACAGGTTCCATATCAGGAGCTGGGAGGAAAGACCCTCGTGATGGCCGTGTATGACTTTGATCGGTTCTCCAAACATGACTGCATTGGTCTGGTCCTCGTCCCCATGACCAAAGTGGACCTTGGGCAGCAACTTGAGGAATGGCGAGATCTGGAGAGTGCTGAGAAAGAGGAGGTAAGCTCTTAAATATTCCTTTGATTATCACCAGAACTGTAAATGAGGATGTCACAACTGTCATAGACATTTAACATAATGTGTTTGGTTATTTACAGCAGAATTGTAAAACTCAAGTTCAGCACCACATTGCTGTTTGCAAAGTATCATTAATTAATTCAGATTTCTCTTAGGTAATAATTTGTACTAAAGTACCAATAAACCGGAAACAGATGTGAATAGTGATTTGTTCTTAGTACACAGTATTCTTGACTGAGTGCGAAGGCAGCAAGACTAAGGAATTTAATCTTAGCGCCTTGGGACGTCCTCTCGATGTGAAAGGCGCTATACAAATGTAATTTCTTGCTGTTTTTCTCACATTGCCCCACTTATTACCGTTACTGGTGCGAAAGTCCATCAGAACTTGTGTATGAAAGAAAAGGAATGGTGCTTCGAAGTAAGCAGTAGAAATGAGTTGATCAATATTCTAATAATCTTTCCGCAACTTTTTTTAATGAGTATTTGTGATCAAAAATATGAGAAATGTCAGTGTTGTGAAATAGCTCACTCTTTCCAATTCTGTCAAACCGGTCAAATATTTCTGATCAGTTGTCAGGAAGTTGGCTGTGTTTTTCAATGGCAATGCAATACAATACAAAATGACATTTGTACAGCGCCTTTCACATCAGGAGGACGTCCCAAGTCACTGGACACTGTACTTGTGTGAAGTCCAGTGTCCAGGACACCAAGACAGGACACTAGACTCATTTGAAAACAAAAGCAGCTTGGTACTGTGATGGGAAGATGATCAGGTGGGTGTTCTGGAAGGATGATCCGAACTGGTCTTAATCCGAACCGATCTCGTAACGGTGCGATCTAAAATCTGTGCCTTTTTGTCCTGCAGCCAGAGAAACTGGGAGACATCTGCTGTTCCCTGCGCTACGTCCCCACTGCAGGCAAACTCACGGTCTGCATTCTGGAGGCAAAGAACCTGAAGAAAATGGATGTGGGTGGCCTCTCAGGTAAGAAACCAGCATTGAACCTGCCCCTACGACTGCAAAACACATTGAATTTCTAACAGATGCAAAACTGTATGTTGCCAACTCCTCACTGAAAAACAGACTAGACCTCATGAAGCTTCTTCAATCAGTAGCTGCCCCCCCATCCCCTCCTCATTCAGCTTGTGTCACCAGGTACTCTGAAAGGAATTTATTATCAATTAGATTTACTAGCAAGAGAAGGTATGTTGAACTGAAATTGCTATTTTGATAATTTAAAGGCCACAAGAATACAGTAGGAAGCAATTTGTTTGGATTCCCCCCCACCCTGCCCCAATGCTTTGTGGTGGTGGTTGTCCTGAATCTTTTGTGAGGAATGCTGTTACAATGATTGCTCCCATCCGTTTCCGACACTTTTTGTAACTCGGAAAGCGGACTAATTTCAGGCGAGTGTGTGGCCGACACAAGTGTGTGGGTCAGAATGGCATAAAACACTGTTAAGCTATTGCCACTGTCTCTAGAGAAAGAAAGTGGTGGGTTTTAAGGTGGAATTTGAAGATAGATAGCGAGAGGGGCAAAGGCAGAGGGATAGATCATATTCTGAACACATCAGAACGTGACGATGGGTTCTGGGGCCACATACATGGTAGACCCCTTAAAGTTTCTGTCTTGCAGTTCAATACATCCTTTTAATTTGCTGCTGAGCATGATTGTAATGGACTGTTTGGGTTTTAAGAGCACCACACCAAGTTATTGTCATCCCATTGTCATAGATTTACATAGATTGTACAACACATTTGACCCAACTAGTCCGTGCCAGTGTTTATACTTCACACGAGCTTCCACTTACTCTCTCCCATACCCTTCAATTCCCTTGTGTGTGTATATCTAGCTTCCTCATAAATGCATCAGTACTATCTGATTCAACCACTGATAGGCCCATTGATTGATTGATTCCCAAGGATGGGAATACTGCTTTCACTCCTGAAGAGCTCTGTGAAACACTAAGTTCCAAACGCAACGACAGGCCATTTAGCCTGAAACCTTGAGTGACCTTACAAAACAGACATGGTTTAAATAAGTGCAGAAAATGATCTTGCCTGCGGTACTTCCTACCATTTTTTTTTAGAAAAAAATTCTAGATTAATGGCGCACTTAAAATAAGATTAAAGAAAGCCCAAAAATGAAATTAAAAACCAGTTAAAATGAAAAATGCAGACATGACTTTTTTTTGTTAATCCACTGGGATCTGTAATTAAGTTAAGCCGCTTGCAAGTTCTGACTGAGTTCTGAATCTGAAAACGTAAAATGGAATAATCTTCCCGCTTTAGTTGCGTTTGCTTGTTTAGGTTTTGGTGGCAGAAATCCCCTGGTTTTAAGAGAAAGCTGCCTGGAGCAGAATAGCTTCCCTAGAGAGAGTTAGACTGATATTTGATACTGTGCATACGAGCAGCATCCCATGAGTCTTTTTGATTGCTTTCTGCACCTGTGAACTAACTTTTAATGACTGATTTACCTGGATCATCAAATCTCTTTGTTCATCAACATATTTAAGAAGGAACCTGATGCGTACATCAGAAGGGAGGGAATTGGAGGGGTGGAGGCTTGTGTGGAGTATAAACACTAGCTCGGACTAGTTTGAATAATCATAATCCTCACATTTGATATAGCACCTTATCAAGTCATCGAGATGTTTTAATTAAAGAGCTTCACAGGACATACAGGAAAGTGGGGCGATTGTATGTATTTTGTAGGCAAACAGCCAAATGGCTTGTTTCCATGCTGTAACGGTCAGTGTAATCTCCTCTTCCCCGATCATTTCCATTTAGAACGTATTCTGATTAACCATTACATTCCAAGGTGCATTAACTATCTGTGCACAATTGGCATCACCCTAAAAAATACACAGTCAATTCACTTTACAATATATTCTGTGAAGCACTTTGTGACGTCACACCAATGTGATAAGGCGCTATGTCAAATGCAAGGATTATTATTATTATTTATCTACTTTGATATAATAATCCTTGCATTTTGCATTTTTTTTGATAGTGCCTGAACATATAGTGCCTTCCATGTCAGATATAATAATAATAATCCTTGCATTTGATATAGTGCTTTTGATGTCTTCTAGACGTCGCAAAGCGCTTCACAGGATATACTGTAAGTGAATTGACTGTATATTTGTGGGCGAAACGGATGGGCATCTCCACCATCCTGGCAGTCGCTTGACATGTCGTGTCCCAAATTATATACTGTGTCCCGAGATATTATTTTCAAGCAGAAATCTTATTGAATTTGTTCTTGAAACAAGCAACATTTTTTGCTTCCACTGTCTCCCGAGAGATAAGCTCACTGAAGCAGTGTTTCCCCAGATTTGTTCTGAACTTACCCCTTTCAATCGTGGGCCGTGTCCTCTGCTTCTCCTGTTCTGTACAAGATAAAACAGCTTCTCATGGTTCACATTATCTATTCCCTTCAGAATCTTAAAGACCGTAATCATATCGCACCCTCAACCTTCTCCTGGCTGCCACGTTCACCTACAAAAAAGAGTGACTACAGTTTACTGTATATCCTGTGAAGCGCTCCCGATGTGAAAGTCATATCAAATGCAATGAATATGATTAGTATTAATAATATTATTAAAGATATTAGCCAGGAACGCTGCTTATTTTTAGTAGATTCACTGTAAACGTAAAAAGGTTCACCTCAACCACAGCTGAGTACAAATGTGAGCTGTGTGATAGTATCTCAACTCTGGTCCAAACCAGCGTCAGACTCATTAAAACTGCAGTTATTCTGCACACCTGGTTACTGAATCAATTCAAAGATCGAGTTGAACTACTGCAAACAGTGCAGTATAAGTGCCCTGTGATAATGGACTAATTTATCTCTCATCGATTATCTCTTTCCGAGGCTCCCTTTTTATTACCCTTCCATGTGACCCAATTCACTGCCTTTATTGTCATCCATGTATAAAGGTGGTTTGAGAACAGCACTACCACGTAGTTCAAAGGAGAATTTCAAAGTGTCTTCACGGGTTTAAGATTTGGGGCTGTCGCTGTCGAATGTGGCTAGTTCTGTTTGATTGGGTAACCGAACCTTCCATTGAAAAAGGCAAACGTTAACAAACAAGTGCCTTGGGACGTCCTCTTGACGTGAAAGGGCCAATGCAAATGTAATTTGTTGTTGTTGTTCTTGTGTCCTAGCTTTGAACATAAAGATACTTCCCATTATCACTTCCTCCAGTGAAATCAACGTCAACACAATCATTACTGTGTGCTGCATTAATATGTCTATATATATATATAATCCTAGCATTTGATATAGCACCTTATCAGATCTTCGAGCCGTCTCAAAGCACTTCACAGAATATACTACAAAGTGAATTGATTGTATATTTTTGTGGGCGAATCTGTGATTTACTACTACTGTGTAGCAGATCACAAACCACTGCAGAGTGTGACAATCAGCCAGACAACCTCTTCTTATCCCCCTGTTGTTTATTCGGTCTGTGGTCTTTGTCTCCTGGGTTGTGGCTATGCATTGTAACCCTCTCCCCAGAGTGGGTCACATCCAACAGCTGGAATCGCAGTGTTTTTTTTAAAAAAATCCATTGCCAGGCTAGTATTAAAATGAACATTGAACCCTTTAACTCGCTCTCTCAACAACAAACAACAACAACAAATTACATTTGTGTAGCACCTTTCACGAAAGGAGGATGTCCCAAGGCGTTCGCAACATATGTACCCTTCCCATCAGTTATGTTGCATTGCATCTCATGTTCTGTGCTCACTTCCAGCAGGTTAGTGACTTGTGGGGGTGGGAGAGCAGATTAATGCTTCCCACTCTGCTTTACTCAAAGCCCACCCGTGTTGTTCTGCTCGCTGGCGCTCACTGCCATTTATGGGTCGTGCTTCCACGAGTTGAGTATCTTAAGAGTAAAGGTCAGCTGTTGTTTGGGCAGCCTAATCCCAACCACAGCGACTTCACTGAATACAATGTAGAGAGGTGGCCGGGTGCTTAGCAAGTCGGGGGAATGGGAACTACAGGGTGCCACAACTTTGGGATTCGGTCAACAAGCTTTGGCAACCTCACAACTGGAGAGGCCACAGACCTGGGAACAGCCTCTTTATGATAGCAATGGGTATGAGTAGTTCGAGGACAGCCTCGTTCTCTCACACCTCTGAGGAGCGCCATCACAAAGCTGGCCACGACCACTTGCTAATAATCCTCTAACTGCCCAAGCCTTCATGAAGTGGGCATCTCCCAGGTCTGTGCAAAGTCTCAACTTGCCAACCTAGAGTGAGTGACCATTCCCCGCATTGCTCAGTTGCGATGTCCTTGTCCCTGTCCAACAGGTGCTGGTCGCTAGCACTGAATTGGATCCCATCCGACGCGAAGGACGGTGCAGTCTGGAGCCGCGCGATAATCTTTTATGATAATAAACATCAGAGTAAATGAAATCAGGACATGAGCTATTGTCGTGCTCTTTGAGTGTCAGACAGTTATAAATATAGGCAGCATCCTCACCAACTGTGCATGAACATTTTCTCAGAGGCTGAGCGATACAGTAGGCGTATAAACACTATTAGTTGGCGAGTACATAAAGGCATAACAAATTAAAGGATTTATCAACTTCATCCCCTGAAGTCTCAGCATCATCAACCACAATCCCACAGCAAAACACAACAGCCACAGCAAATACATACACGGCCACTAATGGACATCTGTGAAACGTTTACAATATAAACACAAACCATGATAGATTGCCTTAGCTCAAGGCACATTCTACTTGCGGCTATACTTTCCACACTCGTATTTAATGGAGCATCATCTCACAGAGCACAGCAGGGCCCAGCAGGGCATCATTCCAAGGCCCATAATGTTCAGCAAGTCAGTTTAAACTTCTGAGGGACAGCACTCTCAGGAAACTTTCTTCTCAAGTTGCCGAGAATGGACGGGCAAGTCAGTCTGCGAAAGACACTCAGAGTCAGTGTCAGACAGTTATAAATATAGCTTAC